CTCCGGCTGAAGAGCCAGCACATCACCACTGCTGTCCAAACACACCAGCTTTGGGCCACCTGACACAAGTATCTCCTCATTTGAGATACAAGATAATTAGAAGTATATTACCTGGAAGGAATTTTTGCTCTTGAGGAGAAAGCGTCCTTAAAAAACTCACCATCTATCCATAGCAATAGGGAGTTTAGCATAGATTATTTCAAGCACACAGAGCACCTTCTCTTCCGTGCTTTCAACTAGAGCTTGGAAGCGGTCTTCCAACCAGCCAACAGAGGAAGCAGCTCTTGAAAGTGTCACTGAACCATAACCATCATCAAAACCATACCTGCTGCCACTCATGACATAACCAGAGCTCTCAAACGATGCGATCTCTTCACTGGTCAAGCCGATTTCACCTCTCCGGGGTATACGTTTTCCTGCTTTTACGTACTCTGCCATTGCTGCACCTTCACCGGGCAAGAGGGCATGTCCGTAGCTTAAAAAAAATAAATTAAAAAGTGGTGATTTCAATCAGTCTCAAACAGAGAGAGCCTGAGGTAAACATCCAGCTTCCCTGTTCACAACGTGCTACCGCTGCATTTTTAAGCACTTTCTTCTTCTTTCCCACATATTGGCCTGTTTCTTCCTTATGGCTAACACCAGCAACATCATCTTAAATTAGCAGTTGAATCCATTCTGATTAAACAGTAATGAAAACACTGTAAAGTCACAATACTGCAGAGCATTAGAATAAAGGCATTTTACAATTTATTTTCTAGGAATCAAGGCTAAAAAGCATGAACCAGACTTTTCTACCTCAATTCAGGCCAGGGTAAAGGCTAGCACCACTACCACTTCTGCCTGTGAGTTTCTGGCACAGCATTTCTCCCCAGCGCGTGCCATATTGTTATAACAATATTGTTATAACTTTTGAACAGTAACCTTCAGGCTTGATTTACTTGATTTGATCAAAGTACCGTTAAAGCTGGCTACTCACTTCAAAGGCCTGTCATCCTGAGACGCATGAGTTTTGGGAGCTTCTGGTCCAATCAGGCTATCAGCTTCTGTATTTTCTGCAACAATCAAGTAACGAGGAAGATTAATATTGTGTCCATTGTTCTTTCGTATCAGAACAGTTACGCAGGTCACCCACACCTAACAAAGAATTCACGAAAATGACACCAAGAACTTTCAATCCAAGTTTAAAGTCAGGTGAACCTACTTGATCTCTCAATCCAGAGATCTTCCCCTTGAAATGTTTCATCATCAGAATCTTCACTACTTGAATCACTGGATTCCTTCCTGCTCTTCTTATTTTTCTTTTTCTTATACTTCTTCCTGTGAGTCAAAGACAGGCACGCTATTTACCAAAATTTAAGATGAAAGAAAGTGCTTGGACTCATACTCAAGTCATTAGTTTCTCAAGGCAACTTCCACCTATGGGTAGACTGGCTGTCTGCATAAAGATTGTTGTTGTTTCATAAAAAACACCTTACAGCAAAACAAAGACGATACATACACGGTTACGCCTTTCACATAGTGTTAGAAAGCGGCTCCCTACGTTTGCAGCGAGTCCTCTACACTGCATGGTTCTGTAGATTTAAAGAAAATCCATCAAATTAAGGTTATTCGACAGCATTGATAGCCCTAATTACGAGAGCCTTCCTCACGACCTGCTAAGAAAGTGGTGCTGCCCTCTAGTCAAAAGCAGGTAGAATTACACACAACAACCTGGAAACTTACTTTCTGTTCTTCTTTTTCTTCTTCTTGCTTTTCTTTTTATCTTCACCTGAAAAAAGGAAAGTATATATATTATCAGAAAGAGATGATTAGCTATAACTAAGTAGTTTACTGCACTGTGAATAACTAACTGCCTCCACCAGAACACCTTAGTACACAGCTTCTCAGACGTGACTTGTTTAGGTACCAAACACCACTGAGGAAGCACGAGTAGAAAGCTACCTGCAGCGCTGTTCGCTACGAGAACGTATCGAACTGATCTGGCATGAGACGCCCAGTGGATACTTAATTCAGAAATCCCACTTCCTGAGGCCAGACTGCAAGCACTCAATGAAAAGGCACTGCAAACCCAGCAAGACAGTGAAAGGAAAGAATATCGGAGCGATGCTGCAGCTCTGTCATTTCAGAACACTGCAAATGTGCAACAAAAGCCAGCAGCACCGCTTTGCGCTCAGAGGAGCAGGAGAGCTCTCGCACCACGCACATTAGCCAAACCCTCTTTTCTTACCACTGGAGTCCTGCTCAGACTCCGACTCACTGTCGCTGTCCTCAGAATGTTTTCTGCGTTTTCTTTTAGATGCCTTCCGCTTTTTCTTCTTTCTTTTCTTCTTCTTTTTCTTTTTTTCCTCTAGAATGTTTTTAAAAGATAACATTAGAAAACAGACAACGATCATCTAGCTCCAAATGTATTCCCCGACCTTCCCAAAGCAATGCTCTCCTTTGAACTGGAGCGCACCGCACGCACTTCCACCTGGCAAAGTCAGTGAACCTCTTGCACGCAACAACAGCGGATTCTAGACTTCGGTAGCTTCCCATTTTCAAAACAAGCTGTGTAAGCAAAGCAAAATACCTTCTGAACTGGAATCTGAAGAACTACTCTTGGACTTCGCCTCTTCGTCTTCTACCGGTGTATGCTCATCGGAGCTGAATGCAAATAGAAGTTTGCTATTTAAAATCTATTTTGTAGAATTCAAGATCAAAGGCACACAGATGACCAAACACAGGCTTACAGATTTTGAGTCAATACCTGCAGTAAACTATTAAACAGCTAATTTGCAGCACGGGAACTGCTTTCAGAACCACAACACAAAGGTCACCTGAGCTACAACAAATCGTATCTTGCATAATCGGTATGTTGGAATTATTTGGGGGGGAAAAACAGAAAGAGTAAAGTAATAATCTTGTTGTATTCATTCAGAAATGAACAGGCACAACATGAATTGTGGCAAAGAGACTAGCATAGGGATAAGACATTTTTGTAAATTAAACGGACGTATCATCATGATCGTAGAAAATGGAAGGAAAGAAGAAGGAATATGCCTTACTCGGGGTCGGGAACCTTTGGTGACAGTCCCCAGACTTCAGGTGCCCCCAGTTCTCCAATTCTCTCTCTCTCATTGAGTCTCCTGTAACGGAAAACACCTTCAGTGAAGCCCGGTGTGCTACACCCAGCACGTAAACATTTCACCTCTGACATCTGTCACCATCGCCGGCAGCAGCGACAGTAAGGAGAAGAAACACGCAGCGGCCTGGGGGGCGGGAAGCGGACCTCGGTGCACGGCGGGGGACGGCCGGCGGCCGGCACCCCTCCAGCCGAGCCCCATCCCGCCCCGCCGGCCCCCCACCCCGCCCCGCGCCCGGGGT